AGGATAAAAGGGAATAAAAGAAGGGCGACAATCTGTGATAGCTAAGAAAATTATAAATGGGATGAGTGTTTCAAGTGGAACGAGTACCTTTTCTGAGAGCAATGGGCCAACCAAAATCATCTTCACCAGGAGGCGTGGCAAGAGGTGGTGAGGGAGAAGAATCTGAAGGAGGAGATCCACCATTTTCTGGAAGAGGACTACTCATCGGGGTACTGTGTCGGAAGATATCAATATGTGGAGAGGAAGGTTCGGGAGGACCTTGAGCATGACTTGGATTGACTGAGACATTGGAGATATTGGACTCAACCACTGGAAGAGGAAGGACCTGTTGGAGGATATGAACATCTTAAACAGATGGAGAGAAGAAAGATGTATGTTCAAAGAATGTAACATTGGCAGACATGTAGTACTTCTTGGTTTCATGAGTAACACCGGTACCTTTTTGAAGCCGAGAATAGCCCAAAAAGACACATTTGATCGCACGAGCGGAGAGCTTGTCTAGTCCCGGAGACATGTCGTGAACAAAACATACACAACCAAAAACTCGAGGAAGGGTGTGAAAGAGAGGATCATTGGGAAAGAGAATGGAGAAAGGGACTTTATTATTGAGAGAGGAGGAGGGCATCATATTAATAAGAAAACATGCAGTTAAGATGGCATCCCCCAATGATGAACAAGAATATTAGCACCAAGCAAAAGGGTACGAGCCGTTTCAACCAAGTGTCTATTTTTTCTTTCGGCTATACCATTTTGCTGGGGTGTATAGGACAAGTGGATTGATGCAAAATACCATGGGAGCTAAGGATTGCAGAAAAAGTGGATGAGAAATACTCTTTAGCATTATCACTTCTTAAGACTTTAATTACGTGACCAAATTGGTTCTTGATTTCATTCAAAAAGGATGTGAATATGGGTAACAATTCAGAGCGATCTTTCATTAGATAAACCCAAGTACATCTAGAATTCTCATCAATAAATGTAACAAAATACCTAAAACTAAAAGAAGAGACGCGACTAGGTCCCCAGACATCAGAATGAATAATAGAAAAACTAGAATTACACATTGATTGAGACCTTTTAGGAAAGACAGATCTAACATGTTTTCCTAGTTGACAAGACTCACATTCTAAAGTCTGAAGATCAGTAAGTTCAGGACACATCTTTTTTAACTTTGACAAGTGAGGATGGCCAAATCGGTCATGTAACACTTTAGGGGGAAGAGCTGCAACATAGGATACCCGTGGACGAGATTCAAAATGGTATAAACCTCCAGCTTCATATCCTTCTCCAATCTGTCTCCCCGAGCCACGCTCCTGTATAACAAAAGATTTTGAATCAAAAGGTATTGAACAATGTAGCATTTTGGTTAACTGACTTGAGGAAATTAAATTGAATGGACAGTTAGGGACAAAAAGAACAGATTTCAGAGTTAGAGAGGGAGACAGGGAGACTTGACCGACTCCCTTTAAACAAGTTTTAGAGCCATTTGCAAGGGTAATGAAATGGGGTTTTTCTTGGAGGGAAAGGGTTGAGAACAATGAGATATTACCAGAGATGTGATCAGAAGCACTCGAGTCAATTACCCATGAATTTTGACCTTCCATGGATTGAGAAATGCAAGTGGATGTACTTGGGGATTGAGATGATTGTCCAAGCTTTGAACTTGATACTCTTCCTCAGTGAACTTGGAGTTGGAAGTGGGAGTTTCAGCCTTAGAGATATTGGCTGTTTTTGAAGGAAAACCATGCAAGGAGTAGCAGTTTTCTTGGGTGTGACCCACCCTCTTACAGTAAGTGCATTGTGGACGTCCCCGACCTCCACGTCCTCCTCCTCTAGTGCCATGTCCTCCTCTTCCTCGCATGGCAACCATGACAGATGGTTTCATTGTTTCATGAGCTTCCTAAGATTGAGGCACTGGAACACGAAGAAGACGTGTGGTTAAGGCTTCCAAGGAAGGGACCTCATGACTTGTCAGAAGTTGATCTCTGATATGATTCAAATCTGGATGTAAAGCACGGAGGATCATCACCATTTATTACTTGTCAAGCTTCTTCTTGATGTCTTCCGAAGATTCCACTTCCAAGAACATTCTCAACTCTTCCACAGCTGCTTGGGCTTCAGTCATGAAGGAGACCATATCATGGTCAGTCATTTTGAGACATGCAAGTTTGTTTGTTGTATAATAGAGACGTTGAATATCATTAGCATAAATGCTTTGAGCTTTCTTTCAAAAAGAGTGACACGTTTTGAAGGCTCTAAGAGATATCAAAAGTCGGGGTTCCACAGATTGCCACAACCGGCACACAATTGGAAATCTGCTTGTTTCCATTGTTCAGCTTTTTCAGAAGGTACTTGGCTTCCATCCTGCTCAAGGTGGTCATAATGTCCTTGACCGAGGAACCACATTTCCACGGCAGCAGACCAAGACAGATAATTCTTTCCGTTTAGCTTTTCGGAAGTAATTGAGGGACTTCCAGAGAAAGAAAGAACACTTCCAGACGCCATTCTTGATAAAAATAGGAGAAGGAAAAGTGCGACAGTGAGGAACCAGAAAACCCTAGAGGGTTTCTTAGGGTTTTCTTCAAGGGGAGCTTCTGAACTTCACTGAAGTAAGGTTTTGAGGGTCAGAACAGAGAGAGGAGGCTCAGGCGACAACTATGGAGGTGTCACGGTGACTTTCCGACGGGCAGAGGGCGGCGTGTGAACAGTACGCACCTGTTCGCAGCGCACAAAGAAGCTGTGCGTGGCGGAGCGTGGAGGAGAATCAAACTCCGGCACCGGTGGGGGTGGTCGTCGCGTGAAGAGACGAACCAGATCCAGTGGTCGCCGGACGGAACAGTGACGGCAGACGGCGGCGAACGGCGGCGGGCAGATGCGAGATGGCAGAGAACCAAGTTGAAGAGCTTCAAACTGCAGTTGACAGCTGCAGATAGTGACAAGACAACCGCGGACAACGGCAAAGGGCATCGGACAGATGCGAACAACAATGACAATGCTGGTGGACAACCCAGGACAGAGACCAGAGCAGGATGAACCTGCTCTGATACCAACTTGAGATTAAAACTGATAAAATATATTCATGAGAGCTTAACAGATCCCTCTCATTATCTTCTATATATATTGAAAACACAAGAGTACATGGAACATCAAGAGTCTGCACTAGACCTCTAGGTACTGAATTATGTACGACTCATTAATGGTCTAGCAGACAAGCCTTAATGATGATATATAACAGTAATTATTCTAACAACAACCATGGTTCCAGCATCTCCAAATAATTCAAATTTTTCTCATCAGTCAATTCACCTAGACCATCTCCTCCTCCTCTTATCACCTCCCAACAATTTACTTGAATGACCTGTCCAATGCCACATGGTGAGTCCTATTCATCGAGTCCTTCATCATTGGCATTCCATACTATCTCCTGATAATGAAGATTCTAGTTGGCCTCTTGCTCCTGTTCCTATTATTCTTTTACCTCTCTTTGATCCATACTATCTCACTATTATTAGACTTGATCTATCTTTTGTAATGGGTGTTGTTAGTCAGTTTATGCAAAATCCTTATATTAATCATTGGAATGCTATCATCCAGATCTTAAAATACCTTAAAAAAGGTTTCAAGGCAAGGTTTGTTGTATGAAGATAAAGGGAATACCCAAATTTCTAGGTATTGTGATGTTGATTGGGCAAGATCTTTTACGGATACATGTTCTACTACAAGGTAGTGTGTTCTCATTGGAGGAAACATTATTTCTTAGAGAAACAAGAAAAAAATTGTGGTTGCTGTTAAAGCTGCATATAGGGCAATGGCATTTCTCACTTGTGAATTTGTATGAGTGAAACAATTTCTTGAAGAATTTATTTGTTCCAAGCTTTGTACATATAATATATATGCTCCAACTTGAGGGGAGAGCTAGAATTGGTACTAAATATAGATAGTTATTAGAATAACTAATTTAGGTAGTTGTATTGGAAAATTACTATATGTTGTACCTATGACCTGTTTACTTATAACCATTAATTACCTAGATATTCCTGGTGTAATTTTTTTCTATGAATAATAAAGATCAACGGAGAGATAATCAATCTCTTCTTATAAGCTATTTTTCTCATATTTTCAGTCTTAGTATGTGTAAATTTATTTGGCTTAATAATGTTTTAAACATAATATTGGTAAAGAATCTACCAAATGATAAAGGTAGCTGGAATCAGTTTACAGCTTAAATGAAATTGCAAATTTAATGAAATTAAAAGTTGGACAGAAGAAATCCACTGAGCGAAAAACACCAATTAGATTATATATATCCACTCTTTCACCTGCCCAACTATAGGATTACACAATACTTAAAAACCATTTAATTCCACCTTCTGAAAGTTAGCTACTAAATTGGTCAGTTTATTTCTAAACCAATATTGAAATTTCATAAGAAAATTATAATTCTGTCAAGTTTCATTTCAAAAAACCGTGGCATGATAGAACTTCGTCAGTCAAGAACACGGTAGTGGCCATCACTTGCTGGCCAGCTGCTACCTCCTGTATTACAAACTTCCAGTTTTCAAAAGAGTACCTCACTCCTTGCATATGATCAACTTTCTTTTGTGATGAGGAATAAGTAAATATTAGTCCATCTTAATTAAAAAGAAATAGTAATTTTTAGTTATAATTTGAATCTAACAAAATTTGGTAGTGTCTACAAAATATTAGTATATTATGTACACACATGGTGCCCACCCACCGAACTTTAGTCTGTAATCAAATATAATTGTGGTCTAATTCACAACGCACCAATTTGTTGATCATAAGCTGTCAAAATATGATAATTTGAGTAACAAATATAAGCTACTTGCTTACTTCTTTTTCTTCACAAAATGAAATTATTTGCACAAGTTAATTGACCTAGGACATATTAGATGCTAAAATAGTAACTTACATCACGCCGAGCAAGATCAAGCCGATTCCATATGACCATTAAAACAAGTTCAGTAAGCTCTCCTTTCTCAGCAGCTTCCTCAATTCTCTATCAGAAAAAGGACAGTCAGTTCTCTGAATAAACACACACATATGAGAAAAAAATGTACAAACCAATCAAAGGAAGAAAATAAAGGCTTATGCCTTCTAGTGTTAAATTAGCTTCTTTATAATAATACTATTGTCCTATTTATATGCATAGGTGATGTGCAAACTATCAATGAATAATGAACTTAGACACTATACACGAATATTATCGAATGAGAGGAAATTATGCAAAAGCATGTTAAAAGGATATAGTGATGAAGATCGTTTTCCTTTATTTTTCATCTTGTTTGTCCTTAGTGTTTCAATTTTTTAATGTGAACTATATCACAAATTCCTTCATTTAAAAACGAAGATTTTGTATTTTTAATACGTGACAGATTTCCCAGCCCAGACGTCAAATTTATAAAGTTAAGAACAATCCCACGTTCTTCAATTTCAAGTTTATAATGCCACTTCTCCATTGAATTTCATATTATAGTTAGTGTTGATCCAGTATGTCAATTGCGCTGCAATTGGTTTCTTGATGCTTACCAGAAGAGAAAGAAGATCCTTATATGGCCAAGGAAAAAACAATCTAAGCTTTAGCTTGGTTACCCAACATTTAATCAAGACGAGCCCTAAACTTAAAAGTTGAAAATACACATTAACTCATGAGGACATATTTTTATCTGCTAGCCATTCAGTATATTATTGCACTTAGAAATTACCTCTTCCACTTCTTCAGGAACCTTGAGAAAGCTTGCAACTAGTTTCCTTGCTTTAATGACATCTTCTTCCGGGTATTCCTTCAACCGTAAGCCAATTTCACGATACTCTCCCATCTTTCTTTCTTCTTCCTCTTCTTCCTGTCTGCGTCTTCGTTGCAACTCCTTGGTCTTCTTTCGTTGCTGGGCTTGCCATTCCTATCCTAGAGAAGGTTAATGAAACTGCCCAAACAAAAACATCCCGAGTTCCAGCTATTTTGGTTTTACAACATAGTTATCAAACAGAAAACAAACATGAAATCAGAATCGCATCAGCCTTTAAAGATGTGATGATATGTTTTCCCTAATCATATGCTATCATTCCCAAGGTTATTACTAGAAACACAGGCTAATTGACAGACAAAACAAAGCAACACCATTTTCTATATGTAACAAAAATTTACAGGCAGTGGCCACATAAGACGAACAAGTAGTTTAAAAAGCATTGAATGAATGGGCAACATAGTATCCATTTCGAAAATTAAGCAACCCAAACTTAATAATAAAGGAAACAAAATAGTAGTTTACAGCGCTAGAGGAAACTTTTCTATAAACATTTTTGAAAGAGAAAAATAAAAAATAAAAATAATTTTTCACAAGCTTATGCATAAGTTAAAATAAGATTTTTACCAAGCTAATAAAAAATAACTTATGGAAGAGTTGATTTGAAATTTCGTTTTGACTCGATTTTCTCGAAACATACACTTAACCAGAAATGAATAGTATTAAAATTACAAAGTGTTTAGAATGCATACATCGTCATAGTACTCCTTGGGCATCCCTTGTAGAAGCTCCTCTTCCTTTTCCCCTTTCACGCATCTCCTTAAAACTGAGGAAAAGCCAGAAACACAGTAAATAAAATAATAAATTTAGAGAAGGATGTAAAATAGGTGGTGGCAATGACTAACCTGCGCCAGATGTGCATTTGTATAAAGAAGGAAAGGTGGGAAGTGTCGTTACAGCAGGAAATGAACAATAACAAAGCGAAAGTGGTGATGTTAGAGAAAGAAGGTTCATCCCAACGAGAGAGAGAGAGAAGGGATTCTTTCTTTGATGAAACGAAAGAGAAGAATGGGTGAATAAACTAAACTGAAGTGTTGCTATATTATGGCGCAACTAGTAGCAGCTACGAACTACCACCAAGAAAATGTTGAGTAGGAGAGGGTGAAGTGAAGAAGAAGAAGAAGATGATGATGATGAGCCAAGGTTTGCTCTTGCTGTCTGTAAAAACAGGAATTTGGCCGAAAGGGTTTAAAAAAGGGTCACGAAGTTGGAAAGAATACCTTATTATCTCTATTTAGAATTTATAACAGTGTAATAGAAATTGAACCCCAAAAAATGTCTCTGGAAAATAAAAACTATCATTTAGACGTATTCTTAATTTCAATTTCCATTTTTGAAAAAAAAAATTGATAATTATAAAAGCCAAATAAAGATAACAAATTGAGTAATTTTTAATGAGTAATTAAGATTTAGTTTTTGAAGTTACATCGTTATGATAAAATTGTAGATTATATCAGTGAAAGAACCAAAACGTTAAGTATGTGAAAAAAATGTAATATCATTTTAACGTCGACAAATGACTGATTCCAATTTATAGTGTTTCTTGATGATAGGATTACAAATGTAAGTTTTTCAAATAAGATAAAAAAAATAGTGTCATGTGAGCATACTGGATTTTTTTAACTTACTTCCTCGGTAACATGATTTTCTTGTACCATGTCAGCTCATTAAGCAACTTTTTTTATAGAAAAATAGCTATCGTTCGGAATACTTCATCTATACATTATTAATTACCAATTAAGCTATTTCAAATTAATCTGTTATAGATAACCGAAAAAATTAAACTATTTCGAATTAATTACCAATTAATAAATAATCAATTGTCACAAAAAATTAAACTATTTTTTGTTCTTAATTTTTCTAATGTTGCGATAGGGGGAGCTGAGATTTTTCCTTTTGGAGTTTTTGTTGTTGATTAGCAAAAGGTCTTTGAATTAGAACCCATGTTCTCCGAATGGGACAGATGAGTGTGTGGAGAATCCATGAGTCAATGCAGATGGAAGGTGTGATTGCAATTGGACAACAACCTGCACAAATCACCAACCTTGAAACTCTCCAAGACGGGGTTTCATTCTACTCATGTTCTGTCCCTGTTGAGTACCTTCTTCATCAGTATTGTTCCCACTCTCCCCACGATGATAACCACCAAAATCGCTATACCTACAAAACAATATGATCAAAGAAATCACAATCTTTGATCTTAACCACTTTACCCAACCTTGTTTCCTTCGAACTTGGAAGAGTCTGATTTTGATGAAGTAGGTGTACTCCTTAGAGACAAGTAGGTGTACTCCTTAGTTTGAAGTAGTTGTCACACATTCAAACTGGATTTAGACAACCACCAATTGTAGCAACGGTGAACCACCAAAGTCCATCTCCCTGGAGCATAGTCAGGAGTCGCCGGAGTTCTATATTTTATTTAAAACTTAAAATAAAATAAATTTTACCTGCAACTACATTATATCATGTCATTAAAAATTATACAATCAATAAATTAACACAAATTTTAACGTCATCCAATCTAATTATCGATACAGTTTTATTTGAGTCAATTTTAAAAAAAATAAAGACGTAATTAAGATCAAATAAAATACAAAAACATATTTAAGGCGATTTAAAAAAATAAGAACATTAAACCTTATTTTTAGTGAAGGTTTGCTCTACTATATTTTGAAGGTATAATTTTTAACTTTAAATTGATAAAATTAATCATAGAAATGGTCAGTTTGTCACGGGGTATATCATTAATTTATGACGTCACTCAATTTTATCAAAATACAATTCTCATTAAATCGGTTTCATCATTTGCAGATAATATCCATATCCAAGCAAATACCTCCGTTCTCACAGGAATATAGAGAGCATGAGAGAGAAAAAGACATGACAGTGATCAATACTTTCTTTTAAGACATGTTTTACGAGCAGTGTTATCACATAACCTGCAACAGCACCAAAACAAACTACATTTACATCTTCTAGACACGAAGAGCAAGCTAAGAAAATTAAAAATTGTCACTAATCCTATAAATGCTTATCCTCTCCCTCCATCTGTGGCTCTCACTGCAATATTTAAATGCGAGGGGTAGAGGATATTTGTCAGTCTTCGCACTATAGCCTTTGCTTCACCCTCCTTCCATTTATGTCGCTGCCATCAAGTATTGCTTCATTCCTATGTTTGCACAAGTAGTCCGAGTGCTCCGTAAATCTAGCCACATACTCTAAAAGCTCAGTCAAAACAGATGGGCAACTTTCTTTCAAGTACTCAAAACCATCTGTTTGCATCACAGCTGAAGAAACAAAAGGGAGGAGAATACTTAGCCGGCAGGTACACAATTATAGTTCTGGACGAAGAATAAGATAGAAATAAATTTTGCTATCGTTGCTGTTAACGGTCCATTCTAAATTTTCCAAATCAAAAGAGTTGGTTACAAGCCAACTTATAGACCACTACTCATGATAGACTAAGAATTAAGACCATATATAACGAATTCTTGAGATCACTAAAACTAAATTAGCTAATTATTTTCTAAAAGAAATCATTAAAAGCAACACAAATCAAATCCTTTAAGCTTAGGATATTTTTCTTTAAAATCAAACTGGAAGGTATGAGGGGTAAGACTAAAACCAAACTATTTTAAACAGCCAAACGGATTAAATCAAGAAACCAATCAAACAAAAAAAATATTTTTTTGTTGATACTTGGGTCAGTTACTGATTCCTATTGTTAATCATGCCTTTAATATATAGTTATATTGATTTTAGAATTATTTGAACTTTTAATAATATTAGTAATGTGATGTATGTTGGATATTTGGTTATGATGAAGTATGAGTTTAGGACATGGAAAGTATACATGGCTATGCATGTTCTGTAATGCACTTTTTAATAAAAGGTTTACAATGAGCTATTATTATGCGTAGTTTTTCATGACGTTATTGATTTTGTTTATTTTAATGTCACTTTCAAGGTCTGATCGTGACTTCATCAGTTATTATTTTTAGCTATATTTTTGTTAGTTGGTATGCTGGCAATTTTGAAGGTCATAATTTTAAATAAGTGAAACTGAACCGCAAAAGACTAATCTGGCTTGATTCATATTAGATATGGCATTCAAACCAGACAGGGAACGCACCTATATGTCAACAACAAATTTAACTTTCAATGATAGTTACATACTCTTTAAGAGACCCTTCAATGTTCCAAATTAACCCCTAATATTGCACCCTTTTTAGCTGTATGTTCAAGAAAAAAAAAGTTTTAAGAACAAAAACATACCTCTGAGATTTTCAGGCTGTGCAACGAATTTCAGACAGACTGCTTTCAGTTGGAAACAATGGTGCTGCTCTGCCAAGGCCAGAGTCGTAGCAACAGTGTTTATTGCAACATCTTCACAGAGATTTGTTTCACACATTAGCCTAACTCTCTCTAAGCCATACCGATCAGCAGCTGCAAGCAGATGCTGAGCCATCAAGGTAGTAGCCCCTTTCGAGTTCAACCCAGTAAGCTCTTGCATGTCAGGTAGTGAGTCATAATATATAACATGAAGCAATGCCTACAAAATATTGAAATATGGAATAGTAAAGCAGACATGTTGCAGTTCTTTTTGTAATAGAATGATATTAAACTTTATTTGTCAAGACAAATAACAAATCTCATCACACCCAATCCAATTTCTGCTTGCAAATAGTATGTAAACCATATGAAGACAATAGGAGTTCAAGAAGCCAAACACAAATATACAAAAGGCGCAAGTGTGTGTAGGTATAAAATAAACAGTTACCTGGTTTATCCTCATTGTGCTTCATACCATTTGGACATATTCCAATATGCATTAATAAATATCATAACTAAGACAGTACTTCTTAAGGTAATAAATATCAGAAAGTAGAAAAATAGAAAAGATTTAGCTACACATTTGGTTTCTATAGGCACAATTTAAACGTTATAGTCCCTATACCTAGAAGCTAGACGTTTTAGTCCCTACATTGCTCTTTAATTCCGCTTACCTCTGTGCAGTTCAGTGTGTTTTAACTCTCTCAGGTGAAATCGACAGAAAATAGAACTAGCAGTGCAAAAGCAGCACAAATTTTCTGATGGTTGTTAAACTGACACAAATTTCATGTCCAAGTCACAGACTTTGGTGGTTTAACACCCACCAACAAATTTATGGCGCTTTTACCAGACTGAATTTAGACATACTTAATAGAAACTAACACGAAGTAGAAGTGCTAGTGTAGGGACTAAAACATCTAGTTTTTAGATATACGAACTTAATATAAAAATTGTACACAAGTGTATACAGATCAAATGAGTAGAGGTATCAACTTGACCTATGGCATGGGCCACTCTTAACCCATCCTTAAAAAAGCCTCCTTTTAGGAAGCTCATCAGATTGGGGCCATGAAAACCCAACCCACAAGACCCTTTCTTAAGTGGGTTAAGGTCAAGATTAAGGTATCCTACTACAAAACTTTAATTAACTCTTAGAAACAATACCATTTATCTACACATATAAAATTATATCTATATTTTATTAAATAGTCTAATATGTTATAATTTATTATATTTAAATCAATATTTTATATCATACTTATTATGTTATTAAATAAAATATATAATATATAACTTAATATTGTTATTGACTATAATCTATTTATTAATTTTATCAATTAAAAAAAATACTTATAGTATTTAATAAAGTACATAATACATTGTGATAAAATTCTGAACATAAAAAAAGAAACATGGAGTCTAACCAAAATATGAGAATATTGGATTAATTTTAATAAAATTCACACTTAAGTTTTTTTATAATTACTAATTATATATATATATATATATATATATATATATTAAAATAAATAATAGGTAGAATTTAAGTATAAATTTAAGTCATACATTAAAAAAAGAAAAAAATAAACAACTTATAATAAAAAATCCATAAATTTATTATTTATAAATTCATTACTTTAAACTTTCAAATTGAGAAGTTCTTTTTAGTTTTAATTCATATCTAGATGAATTTTTTTACCCAACAAAATTAAATGACTATCTTATATACTTTTAAAATATGTTTAACCACTCAAAAATAATTAAATATGTTTAACCAATCAAGGATTTCAACCTCCTATGTTACTGCATAATTTTCTTATATAAGAAACCAATCAATTTATTGAAATTGCTTACAAAGTCAATATTAATATAATTA